AAGTACACAATGAAAGAAAGACAGAGAGAAGAGAAATTAGAATTGAGGAAACAATGCATCTCTGTAGTGGTATTACTCATTTTTAAGTATGAAAAGAAAACGATATGATTTTGTACTGTATTACTTGTATCTATGTACATATAATTTGATTTTCAATTTCCCTGTATCTTTAATCAAACTCAGACCGAATTTAATTTAAACTTTTGAATTTATGCCCAAGTTCACACTGAATTTAAAAATGTCTTACCTCATCAATGGCTAAAAAAATAATAGTAAAGACCTTTGTCAGACACTACTAATATTAATTGATTTTGAAATAATAATCCTTTGTTTTATTTCTTATAATAGGGTGAATTACAAATACATTCCTGGAGGTTTGCTTAAAATACGAATTACCTCTTATAGTTTGAAAAATTACAAATACCTCATCATTAGAATTTTTTATTTAACATAATTAATTAAAAATGTGAAATTTCTAACTGTTCACCTATACAATAATAAAATTGTCTAAATTATTAATTGAAATAAAATTTTGACATTATTAAAAACTATTAATTAACTTGATAATTTATTAATAAAAGGTATTTGTTATGAAATTAGAAACCTTAAGGGACATAATATAATTTCTAAAATCACAGAAATAATTTATAATTTAAATAAATTTCAGAAAATATGTTCGTAATTTACCCTAAATAATATAAATGTTTTTGGCCATTTTGATGAAAAGGGAATGAAATTATGTTCCTTGTTTACATATGGTAATGATTATGGTTGAGAAGCCTAGGCTGCTCAATTCCTTGTTCACACTGGTGGTTGACTATGGCAATGTCTGCCAATCTTTTATTAGCCCCGTTTGGTAGAGTTGTGGGAAAGTGTTTATAGCTTATGCCTAAACAGCTTATAGCTTATAACTTTCAGCTTAAGCTGATTTCCAACTTATTCTTAAAGCATATCCTGTCCCACTCAAAGAATAAGCTGTTTTCTGACTTCCACAAAGCTATAAGCTATAAGCTATAAGCTAAACCAAACACATCAAAATAGCTTAAATTAAGCTGAAAGCTGAAATAAGCTGAAATTAAACTGTACCAAACAGGGCTATTGTATGCTTAGATTAGATTAAGGCGACCCTGGCGAGAATCACCTCACTTGCCAAATGAGATTGAGTATCTACTTTAACAAATGTAAGTCATTATTATTTTATTCGTAAAATTCGTCATTCCATCATTAGTTAAGAGTGACACATAAATAATATTACATAATATTTCAAGAGCTATTCTTCAAACAGATACGCCTCAAATGTGAGTAGTTTCAAAATATCTTGTGCATTATTAACGTAGTGCTTCAAGTCAATTAATTAGTGAAAAAGTTTACTCTTTGAATATGTTGTCACTCACTTAATGTGCTGCCGTTTCTTATTTATCAAAAGTATTATATAGATAATATCACGTAGAGAAGTTATTTGATAGTTTTAAAACATTACTCTCTACAACTCACGTTAAGACATTTTTACTTTCTCTTAAAAGAGATATAAAAGTGGTGAATCTCACTGTTTTAGTCAATAAAATTCAAATTAAAACACTACTTATAATTATCTTTAAAAGAAATATATATAATTTTTCATGTCACATGATATTATGAGAATATTTAATATTTCTCCTCACATGTGCATGACTCACCAAACTTTTATCTCTCTCTCTCTCATGTTGCTCATGCCATTTTTGTGACCTATAAATAAGGGTTGCTAGTTGATCCTCAATGATGAAGCTAGAAAGAAATGTTTGGAGTTCATGGATAAACTCCCTCCAGGGCTTCTACACCAGCTATATCATGTGGTTCACATGTAAGGTCCACGCTACATGAAGGATGGATGGACGACTAGGAGCATTGAAAGAGATGGTACATGCTTTGCCTTGTATAGTATTGTTAACGAGTTGAGTTGAGTCAAATAATAAATTATTAAGTTAATTTTAAAACTTAACAAACTATAAAATTGTTTATGATTAACTTGCTTATCTTTTTAGCAGATTTAAAATGAATTTTAATTGAGCCAATTTAGAGTAGTATTTTTTTTTTCAGTAATGTTACAGACCAAGATATAAAAACTTAGGGTGTGTTTGGTAACGTTTACGTTTTCAGTTTATATTTATAAAAATTTTATAAACTGGTTTTTGTTTACTTTTTGTTTATTTTTAGAAAAACATAAACTACAAATGCGTTTGGTAATTGACAAAATATTTAAAAAAATTTAAAAATATAAAAAAGAATGAGAAATGGCAAGTGGTGGCAAGTGGCGGCAGAAGATAGTGGTGGAAAGTGGTGACGGTGGGTGGTGGGTAACTGGTGGTAGTAGGTGGTGGCGGATGGATGTGGGTGGTGGCGCTGGGTGGGTGGGTGGTAGCGAGTGGGTGGTGGTGGTGGTGGCAGGTGGTGGTTGGTGGTGGTGGCAGGTGGGTGGCAGATGGCGGGTGGTGGCAGGTGAGTGGTGGTGGCGGTTAGGTGGCGAGTGGTGGTGGTTGTGGGTGGATGGGTGGGTGGGTGACAGTGACAGGTGGTGGCTGGTAGTGAGTGGGTGGTGGCTGGTGGCTGGTGGATGGCGGATGGCGGGTGGTGGTGGCTAGTGGCTGGTGGGTGGTGGCGGATTGGTGGGTGGCTGGTGGGTGGTGGTGACGGGGGGGGGGGGGGGGGGGGAGGGGGGTGACGGGGGGGTTTTTTTTAGGTGAGAATTTAAACTCAACTTAAAAGAGCATTAATGAACTGATGACCATAATAACATTAAACTGCTAATTACCTTGGGGATGCCATGCCTTAATTCCAAATGCTGAACATTAGAAATCTTTCCAAGCATCCCAACTACACCATTATAGTAATCCTCACTTCTGTAATTGTCAAAATAAATTGTAAATTTTGCTTTAACTAAGGAGGGGAGTTCATCCACATCAAAAACACTGGACGAATTATCATTAAGCTGAAAGATTTCGAGAACTGGGGTTTTAATCACGACACTTTGTTGGAGACTTGTTCCACAGAAGTTGTTATACATACGTAATTTCTTCAGAGTAGATGAGCAAATGCATAATGTCATTATGTTATCCCATAGATTAGTCCTCTCTATGTCCAATTCATCAAGGACTGGGCAGCCAGTCTAAAACCCAAGAGGAAGAGAGGGCTTTGGTGGTTTTGAGCTTGAGCTTGAGAGAGAGAGGAGAGGAGTTTCGTTTCGCGGGTGGTGGGTGGTGGTGGTGGTGGTGGCGGCGGTGACGGCGGCGGCGAGGGGGGGGTGGTGGTGGCGAGTGGGTGGCAGGTGGGTGGTGGTGGTGAAGATGGTGGTGGAAAATGGTGGCGGGGGGTGGCTAGTGTTGGGTGGTAAAAAAAAAAAAACTGAAAACTCAAAATGGAAACACATTTTTTGTGTTTTCATTTTTTGGCCAAATTTAAAAACTCAGACCACTGATATATAAATCTAAAATTTTACTAAACAAGTTTTTATTTGAGTTTTTTAAATTTTTGTAAATATAAACAGAAAACTGAAAACGTAAGTGTTACCAAACAGCACCTTAGAAATTGTCCAGAATTTTACATTAATGGCTCAGATTTATGTCATATGTAAACCCCGCACTTCATCAATTCAATCTCCACCACACATACCCATTTTTGAAAAAATTCGGGATCCCAAATTTTGGGACCCTTGCTTTTTTTTCTTTTTTTATAGTGTATTGATTATTGAGTTAACTAAGTAGATTATTCAAATTTGTTTTGAAAACTGAACAAGTTTCAAAATATGTTCATACTTGACTTATTTACTTAATGAGCAAATCTTAAATAAATTTCTAACGAGTTAAATGTGTGTCAAATTTGAATAGATTAGTCCTTTTACCGTCCTACCAACTGTTTGGTTCTATTTTGTTTATTTCATTTTCGTTTTTTGTGTTTTCATAAATAAAAGACTGAAAATTTTCAAAACACCCATCATTTTCACATTGCTTTTATTATTGTGTGTAAACTGTTTTGAATTTTTTATTTTATTTTGTTTGTGTGTTTCCTAAAAAGAGGTTTATTTCTAGAAAATTATTTTTGTAAATAATTCACCCAACAAGATTGTGTTCTAGAAAATAAAAGCCATTGCTCTCTCTCCTCCGCAAGGGCTTCTTCCGGCTTCCTTCCCAATATCTGAGCCGGAAGTCTCATACAAGAGTACACAAAGTTGGGTTGCGTTGATCTTGATGAGTTTTGTTTTGTTTTTTTTTCCATCTTAGGTATGTGTTTAGAAAGTTGCTATTTTAATAGGTTTTTTTAGTTTTTGATTATTTTAGGAGGTTAAAATTTTTATTTTTGAAAAGAAAGTTGAATCTTTTTATAGTTGGATGTGATATTTGTGAGAAAAAAAATAAAATAATTATGAATTTGATATGACATTTTGTCTTGTTGACTATTTTAGCCTATTTTGTCTTTTAATATTATTTTAACCAAAAAAAACCAAAAAAGTTTCTCCCCAAAATTGTCTACTAGTTTGTTGGGCTCTTTCTTTGTTTTTCTTTTTCTTATTAGTAAAATTTCTTTTGTTATTGGTAAAAATAATAATAATAATAAACAAAATTATTAATTGCAGAGTTCTCCGTCCTTGTGCTGCACCTTCACTGCCTTGATACATTTTAAACTCGTTAACAAATTACTACTCAACTCAACTCAACTCGGTTAAAACTATACTACTCATACTAGGTTTAAATTAAAACTTATTTGAGATCTACTCACACTAGGTTTGAATTAAAATTTATTTGCGATCAATTCAAAAGGTAAATGAACACATTTTGAAACTTCTTAAATTTTCAAACTAAACTTGAACAACCAGACTAATCTCGTTTACAATCATAATCTCTATCCATGATATATCAGACTAGAGTTTCAGAATTGACTCCTAATGCTGCACAAAGAAAGCTTGGAACACACACCCAAAATATATACAAAACTACGAAACACATACCCACAAATTCACTCCACCAACAACTAGAAAACGCAGTCTATAGAGACCACACTTTTTATGGATACTTACAAATTTAACACCACCATAACTTACATACCCACCATGCTCAAAACCTAGGAACGTAACAGTGAAAGAGAACCGAGTTCTTTCATACATAGAATTGTCGGAACAGTAAGATACATATAAGGTAAAGCCTAGCATCAGTTTAGAGAAACAAACGAGGATGAGTAAATCAGAGAGAGAATGATAAATGACAAAGCTACGAGCAGAGGACTATGTACAAAAACTTCTGCGGAAGTCAAAAATAAAGCTTGTGGGTAAATGAAAGTCTTGCACGAGAGCCATTAGAATTCTTTCAAATAGTGCTAACCGACCAACTCAGACCCGACTGACCGGTCCAGCCCGATCCTGCATTGCCATTCTCTCTGCAACGTCGGCCAAAGATTTGAGGTTGCAGTTGATCAGGGCCTTAACAAAATAGCATGTCTCATCTTTAGTGTTTCCATCAGGCACATCCACCACAAATGACTCGATCACTAGCGTCCCCGGTCTACCATCAGTCATCTCCGGATGGACGGTAATGATTGAACAGTAGTTCTGCACGATTAAGTAACAAATTAAAGAAATCACGGTTTGAATGTCCTTACTAAAATTTCATAACTATACAGTATATATAGTACCTAACTAATGGCTTTCTTATATATCCAGGAAGCCCAACTAATTATAAAGGACTAAATCTGAAATTATCAAAAAATTATTCAATGTTTTTGTAACAAGTTCAGATGAAACATAAAATATTTTGGGATTTTTTTGTTCATATTTTGGTAATGTTGAATAGATATTGGTTTTATTTTTACATATTAATATTAATATTGAATCTTAGTATATTTATCATTTTTAAGCTAAGAAAAATATAGGGTATGTTTGGTTTGAGTTTAGGAGATGAGTTTTAAAGATAAAAAATACGAAAAGTTGTTTGGTTTGATTTTTTTCAAAAAATGTTTTGAAAAATTATTTTGAGAGAGAGTTTTGAAAAAAGTGATTGATTTGATGTGTATGAGAGAGAGATTTATTTAGAAAACTTATAAACCAAACAAGTTTTGAGAAATTTTTTTGAGAAAATTTGTTTGGTTTGATTACTTTTGAAAACTTATTTGTAGAGAATTTTTCCCAAAAATTTTTTGAATTAAATTTTTTGAAAATTAAGTTTTTTTGTTTTCGTATTTTTTGTTTTTAGTGAATATTTTTAAAATTTTAAACATTTTTTTTTACTTTTTAGATGCACCTTACTAAGATGTATCTAAAAAGTAAAAAATTTATGAAAAAATATTTTAAAAAATTAATAAATACATAAAAATACAAAAAATATATTGAATTCTCATATTTTTTTTTGTGTTTTGGGTATTTAGTGAATTTTTAAAAGATTTTCTTCACAAATTTTTTACTTTTTAGATACATCTAAGTTAAGTATGTCTAAAAATTTTAAAAATTGCTTAAAATATTAAAAAAAATCAGTAAAAACCAAAAAACACGAAAAATAAGAAAGTAGAATTTTCTGAAAAGTATTTTTTGAAAAAGGAAACCAAGCATAGTGAATAGTTTATATCAATTGGCTGGTGAAAATTTTAGTCATGCTTTTGGCCCTTCCAAAGATAGAATTTTGGTTCCGTCCCTGCTTGCTCAAAACAGTAAAGTTGGAGATTTCTATCCGAAATAGTCCTCGAAACAAAAAGCAAAAGAACAAATAAACTCAAGTTGGCAGAAGTAGCTGCCTTTCACTATTTCTCTTATATGCATGGCATGCAACACAAGAACAGAACAATTACCCATAAATGCAAAGGTACACCATCTATTAAGAGAGAATGTTTTCAAGTCTATCCGTATTTCTTAAACCAAATATGCTAGAATTGTTGTACAAATCATTAAATGGCAAGGATCAAGTGAAAAGATATCCCAAGTAGAAGCGATAAGCAATAAGTTGTCACATGAATGATATGATCGAACAACTCCTTATCATCTTCCACCCTCAGTATTCAAAGGCGAAAGACCAAATCCTCCTTGCAAATAACATCATCCAAACATGTCGGCTACCCACACATGCATTTGCAAGTAAAATGGCGTAAAACTTATTTATACAAACAGAAATATGAGTTCTTGCCATGAATAGCAACAAAATTATGGGCTGTCTTAACACTAGACAATAAAGTGAACAGGATAAAAGAAAATAATACAAAAAATCCATACCTTCAGCCTGTGATCACCACCAACGATCCTGACGCCGAGGATGTGCTCCTCATCATCAAGCAATTCCAACCTTTCGGTGCTCATTGTGGCGGGAAGCCCTGACTTCACATTCACCTCTCTGAGACTACCAATCTTAAGGTCACCTTGCACGATACATCTGCTGACAAAGGGCTTATACCTCTGTGGCTGATCGAAGCTCCTCACCAATGGCCAAACCTAATTAAAAAAAATAAAAATAAAAATAAAAACATAATTCACCAGACAAAAGAAGTGCAGCTCAACATTGGAAACAAAAATTGATGAGAAAACAGCTCAAAATAGTCAAATATTAAACATTTGACATGTGATAAATGGTCATGAGGTGAGAAAACAGTTCATAATAGTCGAATTTTAAACATCTGACAATCTTAACTCTCCTTAACTTCCTGAAAGCTAACTGAGGGAGTTGGTTTGTCATTTAAGGTAAAATATGGAGTATGGAGCCATTGTCGCTTTCAGGTATAATATGTGTTAAGGAGAGTCTTTCTTCGGGAAATAATTGGATTACTAACTAAGGGGGGAGGAAAAACTAAGAGCAAAGGAAGGAAGGGGATTAGCAGCCAAGCAAGCAAGAAGGCAAGAGCAGTACAAGGGGTCAGTCCATCGCGTGGTTCCAAATCAGGTAAAAAGAAAAGAAAATAACGGTAGTTTTCATTTCTAACTTTGTGACTTTCCAAGCAATTTTCTTGGAAACCAAATGCACACAGACAGACAAACAAATACTCCAACTTAAAATTTCAACAAAATATAGAAAGTGAAAAGAAAATTCTTCCAAAATATAAAATGAAAATCACAAAAGACATGCCAAACCTAACAGAAGAACATAAGTCATCAGACAAAAGAAGTGCAGCTAAATCTTGAAAACAATAATTGATAAGAAAACAGCTCAAATAGTCAAATTTTAACCAGTTTGACAATCATAAATGGTTATGAGGTTATTATCCCTCCATATAGTAGCTGGGAAAAGAGGTAAAAAAAAAAACAGTAGTTTTCACTTCTAACTTCGTGACTTTACTAGCGATTTTCTCAGAAACCAAACACACACAGACAAACAAATACACCAACTCAAAATTTCAACAAAACATAAAAAATAAAACTCTTCCAACAATGAACTTAAAATCACAAAGCACATGCCTTTAAAATTCATCTAACCCAACTCTCATCAGAACTCAAATTCAACAAACAGCATCAGAAATGAAGCTAATTATGAATAATCCAGCCAAAGTAATACTAGCATTTTCTCTCGGAAACCAAACACAGACAAACAAATACACCAACTCAAAATTTCACAAAGAATAAAAATAAAAAGAAAAATAAAATTCTTTGAAAAATAAACTCAAACTCAGGAAACTCATGCCTTTAAATTCAACAAACTTAATACTCAGAACTCAAATTCAACAAACACCCTCACAAATGAAACAACAAGAATCCAAAAAACGAACTTAATTTCTCAGATCTGCACCCCCCCCCCCCCCCCCCCCCCCCCCCCCCCCAAAAAAAAAAAAAAAAAAAATACACAAAACCCAGCACAACCAGACAAATTGCAGGCAAAATTAAGCAAAAACCAATCAAATCACAATTATTCAAAATCCCCAAGTTTCCTCCCTTTCATTCCATTTCCCAATCAACCAAACAGAACATACAGACATAAATTAAATATGTATATATATATATATAGAGAGAGAGAGAGAGAGAGAGAGAGAGAGAGACATACGAGATCAACGGGGGCTTTGATGTGTTTGACGAGAGAGCAAGTGCACTGATTGTCTTTGGGTACGTGCTTGTGGTGTTTTCGTATGTATTGAGCCTCCATTATTTCTCTGCAAATCAAACCCAGAAAAAGAAAAAGAAAAATCCACAATCTCTTCAAACTGTTCCAAACCCAATTCAAAAAACAAGAATCAGAGTTCGAGTAGCTTCGAAACCACGTTCTTCTCTCGATTCAGATAAATCTCTATCTCACTCTCTCTCTCTCTCTCTGTGGTTCAGTTCTGTAACAGTGTGTTGAAATGGCAAACGAATAAGAATAGCACTTTAGGATATCTATGGTTTGGCCTGAAATTAGACATTTTTGTATTTTAGTGGTAACTTGTAAGAGGTTATAACTGTCATTTTCTCTCCTTTGGGAATTAACTTTTTTTATTTTTTTATTTTTACAAGATAAAAAAAATAGTATATTTGATTTTATTTTTTTTTAAATTGTATCGAAAATTGTAAATAATTGAGATATTTGAAACCCCCTCCCTTTTTTTCTTTTTTTTGGGTAGCTTTCTGACTTTTAAATTTTGTAATAATTTTTTTTAACCATTTTAATGAAAAAATGGGGTTAATCTAGAAAGGCACGGGTTAATTTTAATTTTAAAAATAATTATAATAATAAAATAAGATACAATTTAATTTAAAAAAAATATAATGTGGTGTATTATTCCTGAAGAAGTATAGACCAAATTATAAATTAAAAGGCTAAAATTGAAATACTAATAAATCTTAAATAGTGATCTTATAAACAATTTGGTCCTCTCTTTTTTCTTATATACCATCAAAACAACTACAACTATGATATTGCCTCAAGCGACATAGTTGAGATTGTGATTAGTATACACCTGCTATTGCTTTTTACATTGTTTGTCTAGGTAAAGCACACATAACGTTTAGTAACAGAAATTTTTTGGTTTCAATATATGACCTAAGAATTTTATGTTTCAATTTGGTGATTAAATCCGTGCGTCTCATACATAATAACTTATCTTCATTTGGGTAATACATGAACTAAGAAAAGTGAGCTCTAAACTGATCAAAGAAATATTGATATATAATAAACAAATTCCTAAAAAAAAAAAAAAAAATTGCACACTTCACCTTTTTATTCTCATCTCAAAAATGAATTAGAAAATTCGAAAAATAAATTACAAAGGTCATTCATTTAAACTCAAATAACAGCAAATCATATAAATACAACTTTCCAAAATAAAAATGATTAATTGGTTCAAAAAAAACTCTTAAAACTAAATAGATTAATATACTCTCATATGAAATTTATGGGTAAATTTTCCTAAATTTTATCTATTGACCTATTAAATATTGGGTAGATTTTTTTCATTTGGATTTAGTATTGAGTTTATATACATGAACAAAATTTGCATGTGATCAAATTGTGCACATCATATACCCTTTACTTTTAAACCATTAGATATATATAAATTAATTTGAGCCATTAAACAATTTTATTTAAAAAAATTGGATACCTTTTTAACCGGTTGTTTTTTTTTTCTTTACTGATTGTCCTCATCCCACAAAGTCTCACATTTTTTGGTCTAAAACTCTCATGTTGCTGCCAAGTATCGGACGGTATTGCTGATCTTCCGAATCTCCAAATGCTATCTCTCTGAAACGATTCACTCACCGGAGCTTTACCAGAGAAATTAGGATCGACTCAGATGTTGCAAAACCTCGATGTTTCGTACAATTCGCTTTCCGGTTCGATACCCCCATATCTCTACTTCGGAAACATGTTAGCTAGACTCATTCTTTTCGGAAACAAATTCACCAATGAGCTTCCTTCGTTGCTCATAAATTGCACCGCCTTATTGAGGGTTCGAGTACAAGACGACAATCCCAACGGTTCAATTCCATTTGGGCTTGGTTCTTTGCCCATCTTGCATACATAGACTGTGGCAGCATCTAGGAAATGGGGGGAAGCACAACAGGGGCCTAGGCTGTCTATTTCTAAGCTATCATGGGGGTAATGTGGCTCCACCTAAGGCTCATTTTCTTGGCTAGTTGGAATGGAAATGGAGAGTGAAAACTGCTGATTATTTACAAAAGATTAGAGCATTAAGTAGCAATATCAACAACGTGTGCCCCTTTTGCGAATCTCAAGTTGAATCTTTTAATCATTTGTTCTTGCTTTTCCCGGGGATTTGGAAGATATGGACAGAGTTATTACAATTTTGGGATGTCCAATAGGCTACACTTGCAAAATTACAATCAGCGTGCAATATTAAGATTCATTTGTAAAAGTTATGATATTTTGTTAATGTTATTATAACTGTGGGGAAAAAAGTTATGGTTATGATTCATTAATAAAAGTTATGATTTGTACTATCAAAAATTATGATTTGTCATGGTGAATCATAATAAAAAAATGTTACGATTCAAATGTTATAATAATTTATTACACTTGTTATGAATCGTTGTCATATTTTTATGATTAATAGTGTTTTTGTTATGACACTTTGGTAAATATTATGATATTGTTATGATTCATTATAATATTATTATGATATTTGAAAAAAATTATAATTTTTTCATGTAACTCGTTGAATGACCGGTTTAACAAATCACTTTTATGATGTGACACGATATAAGCTACACAATAAATACATATCATATACCTTTTTAAAATGTTCACATTGTAGACTTTTCCACATAGCCAACATTCAAGCAGTAGACTCAACTTCTAGTTTGAACATTCAAATTAAAGAAGAGGTCAGTCATTTGCAAATAAGTAGTTAGTAAACACATTTTTATTATAGTTTGAATAAAATATAAAAATAAAAAATTATGGTTACAAAATAATATTTTTTAAATGTTAAAAAGAATATTTAACAACCACACAATCAGGTAGATTCCAAAATAAGTTGAAAAAGTAACTAATTTCGAAATTAGTTTAAAATTAAATGTAAAATGTAAATGTATTAATCATAATGTTTATACATATGGTTAATATTTTCTCTTTGCCACAAATAAATAGAACAAATCAAGTTGCTTTCATTAATAATTTTGCATAACAACTCCTTAACCTAATACATTTTTTTTCAAAATAGTATAAAATTACCAAAAGTTGCTTTTAATTTATTTTACAAACTTTATCTAACACATGTTTGATAATTAGATTTTTAATTAAAACATAATTGACAATTACATTTTTTTTTGTTAAAAGTATCGGACTACTGAATAACCATCCTAAAATTAGATCCAAAAGTATGAATGGCAATCATATTTTTAAGAATCTAAGTGACAGTGACAGATAATTTATTTGAATTGGACATATGTGAAATAAATGGTAAAGTCTACACGTGGAATCCATTTTTATTTTACACCTATGTTCTACTCTGTAAAAATTATTTGTATTCACAATGCAACATATTTTTATTGTAGTGTCAATCATGATTTTGTTAAATAATTTAAATATCAACAAACTTCAAAATGCAAATATCTTGTGATATTAACAAGTGTGTTAATTGTGAATGTTTTTCATGTTTGTGGATAAAAATATTTAAAAAATAAATAAATAAATAAAATAGAAAAAAATTGGGAAATATTCCTAGGAGAGGTCCAATATATTTATTCTTATTAGTTAAGGTTACTCAATAATTTGCAGAGCTGAAATTTCTTTATGTTGAAATTTTTCTGTGTCAAAATTTCTTTGTAAAAATATTGAGAGATCCCAACTATTATAAAAATATTACATATTTTTTATCTTATAAAATTTTAATATCAAATATTTTAAACTAAAAATCCCAATAAAAGTAAACAAAACTTTTGTGAATAGATATTGTCCACACCAATCTCATCTCTTCCCAATGTTCCACCTTGTCGTTTTCTATCTCTCTGCCTTACAATTTTTATCAGTATTCTTTATTTCCCAAAAGGATTAGAAAATTGAAAAGAGAAAAATAGAAAAAAGAAATAAGATGATAACAAGAAGATTGAATTACAGTATTATATAAAGCACATAATATATAAAAAATTGTCACAAATTTCTTTGTATACCTAAAACACTCCTATACGTAACTCATTATTCTTAGATTTTAACTATTCCAAATAACTGTCATAATTCTTTCAAATAGTTGTCATAATTATTTTAAATTTTACATTAAAATATGCGCCTAGGGCATTCAAAAAATTAAGTTTAATATTCAAAAGTGATGAAAAAAACTTGAGCTATAAAATTATTTCCCTCAAAAAAAGAAAAAAACCATATGAAAATAATGGGGGTGTTTGGGAAGAAAAAAAGAGAGTCTAATTTAGGTTAAAATTCACAAAAAGACAAAATAGGCTAAAATAGCTAATAAGCAAAATATCACATCAAACCCATAATCATTTCATTTTTTCTCTCACAAATATCACATTCAACTATAAAAAAATCCAATCATCTTCCCAAACACAAAAATTTTAGCCTACTAAAATAGCCAAAAACTAAAATAACCTACTAAAATAGCAACTTTCCAAACGAAGCCAATGTGTTTTTTATTTTATATTTTTTTACTAAACTAATTTTTTAATTTTTTCAAAAACAAATTATGAAAAGTCAATCAAATAGAGGCTTTTTTCCTTTTGGTGGGACAAATGATCCTACTTCAAAATAAAAAAATTCCAAAATAAAAAAATTCCAAAAAGGAAAGGAAAAGGTAATGCATTTGAGCCTCTGTTTGGGAAGTAGGTTGGCTTTTTAGCTTTTTGACTTTTTTGGCTATTTTAGCCTGGGCTAAAAAGCTTGGTTTGGGAAGAGCTTTTTGACTTTTTGACTTTTTTGACTTTTTTTGTGAGAGAAGAATGTAATGATCATAGGTTGGATGTGATGTTTTGTTTGTTATGGCTAAAATAGCCTATTTTGTTTTTTGTAGTTAAAATAGTCAAAAAAGTCTGAAAAAGCCCTTGCCGAACACAGGCCACACTAGCTCTTTGTTTTTAACCAAAATTTAAATCTTGGAGTTGGAAATTAATTATTAATTTAAACTTTTTGTTAGATGGGTCTAGTAATTTAAATTCTGGCCTAATATTATTGGTTGATGACATATCTACGTGTCAAGTTGGTAGATGATGAAATTATTATTATTAGGACATTTTATCTATAAATTCAAATTTAAATTTTATTTGTTCAAAAGTTCAGACAGTAAAACGTTATGCCTATAAGGACACGCTTGCCCAAAATGAATACCCATCTATGTATACATGTTACACACTGAAAACCCTCACCCCCTTTCTCATATCTTCTCTTCAGCTTCTTCGCGC